ATCTCCTCCGTTTGTCCCCTCTTGTTGTCTCCTCCCTTCGTCTCCTCCATTCGTCTCCTCCCGTTGTCTCCTTCCTTTGTCTCCTCCATTTGTCTCTTCTTGTTGTCTCCTCTGTTTGTCCCCTCCCGTTGTCCCCTCCCTTTATCTCCTCCGTTTGTCCCCTCTTGTCGTCTCCTCCTGTGTGTCAGACAAAGACGGACTGTCGGGGCTCCTGCGCGGCCGCTCAGCCAGGATGGAGACGCACGCCTCCGGCCTGAGGGAGGAGGACGCCGCCCTGCGGGACGAGAGCCTCCGTCACGGCGACGTGGTGTTCGTGGACGTGGTGGACACCTACAGGAACGTGCCTTCCAAGCTGCTCCGGTTCTATAAATGGTACGCCGAGCGCTGATGACTCAAGTCCAAATGGGCTCGCCCTCTGAGGAAATCAGCTCGGAGACGAAAAGTGTGTCGTCGTGTCCAGAGTCGGGCCAGTCGGAGGAAAGAGGTCCTGAGTCTCAGACGGCTGGACCCTCCGAGTGGGTCCAGGCTCTGAACTGACGGCTCTTTGATTTGCAGACCTCTCGCTCGTCTTCCTCTGTGGTTCTGGACAGGAAATAGTTATAGTCTATCAGTTATAAACTGTTATAAACATTTATAAATGTTTATAACTGTTTATAAACAATCTTTAATTAATCACATGGTTTAAACATTTCGTGATGTTTGTTTTCCAGTAACTTTTCTCTGTTTATGCACGTTTGGTGTTGTTTTAGCCATTTTTACATAAATATGTTCAGCTCATTAAGTAGATGTTTGTTTTGACTTTTGTTTTTTGTAACTTTTATATTTTTGTTCATTTTACTTCATTTGCAACATTTTCCCAAGAAATACGTCCAGATCACTTTAACCCCTTCATAACCATGAGATCTGTTCTGCTGTTTTTGTCTTATGGCTTATGCTACTTTTAGCTTAGAGCTACTAGTCTGCTACTGTTAGCTTTAAGCTAACAGTTAATACATTTAGCTTATAGGTAGCCCGCTACTTCTTTTTCTTAGCCTTTTGATACTTTTAGCTAGAGTTCTCCCAGACTTTTATAAATTTATGCTAGTGTTCAGTTAGCTTTTTGTATATTTTAATGTGTTCTGCTGTCTTTTTGGTACTTTTAGCTAGTTCTCTGCTAGCCTTTTGCTACATTTAGCTAGCCGTACACTACTTTTAGCTAGTTTGACACTAGTTTTAGCTAGTGTTTTACTTGCTTGTGAAATTATGCTAGCATTCAGTTGGCTTTTTGTTAATTTTAGATAATGTTTTGCTATCTTTTAACTTTTGCTAGCATTTCATTTGTTTTACTAGTGTTTTGCTACTTTTAGCTAGACTTTTGAAATTTGTAGCTACTTACTTAAAGCTACCTTTTAACTGAATCTAGCCAGTTGATTTTTTTGCCTTTAAATAGTTTTATGTTACTTTTGATTTTTAGTTAGCATTTAGCTTTTTTCACTTTTCGATAGCCTCTTTTATTTTTCAAGTTACTTTCAGCTAGCATTTTGATACTTTTAGCTAGTCTTTTAGTATTTTTAGCATCTAGCTATGTATTTGATACGTTAGCCTTTTGCTACAGTTAGCTACCTTTAGCTCAGTGTTTGCATTTACTTTTAAGCTAGCATTTTACTCTTTAAAATTAGTTTGTTTTAACTTTAACAAATACAGAAGATGCATTTTCTCTAGTTGGATTTAACAGTTTTTACTTTTGCTTTATTATTATTTTAAATTATATTTATTTATTATTATATTTTAAATATAAATTGTATGTTTTTCCAATGGCATGCACTAAATATTAACATTTCAATAATAGTACGTCAGGGTTTAAGCGAAGTAAAAAGATTTACAAACTCTTATTAAAAATATTTTACAATTCTTCAACAGGTGTTAGAAAAATATATCCACGTATAAATATGTGCATAATTATACCCATAAAACAAATATATTTATAGTTTAGGCTATATATGTACCTCATAATTAGCTAAATTTAAATAATCAAGTCAGGCTTTTCTGTCCAATAATACAGTTTGAATCTTTAGGTGTCAAACTGGAAAATATTAATGTAATACTAAATGTTTTTGTCGTTCGTGCTTTAAACCTTTTTAAGGTAAACGTTCTTGTGAAGCTGTGACTCAAAACACGTTTCATGTTTTTAAAGTTGTGAACTCTCCTGCAGGTCTGTGGAAAACGCCGACTTCAACCTGCTGCTGAAGGCGGACGACGATTGTTACATCGACGTGGACTCCGTTTTCATGAAAATTGACCGCAAAGGTCTCGAGCGCAGGAACTTCTGGTGGGGGAAGTAAGTTGTTCTGTTTCCGTGCACTTCGAGATGCGTTAAAGTCCGTTTAAAGGAGCGCGACTCGCTCACGAGGCGCTGAAGGTTTGGCTGTGACCCCGTCTGCTGTCCTGACCCAGTTTCAGGCAGAGCTGGTCCGTGGATCGGATCGGGAAGTGGCAGGAGCTGGAGTACGCCAGCCCGGCCTACCCGGCGTTCGCCTGCGGCTCGGGCTACGTGGTCTCGCGCGATCTGGTCCGATGGCTCGCCAGGAACGCAGAGAACCTGAAGCCCTATCAGGTAATCACCGGACCGCCCCGACGGGTAAACCCTGATCGTAAAAATAAAAGGCGCCGCTCGTCTCGTTGCAGGGAGAGGACGTGAGCATGGGGATCTGGATGGCGGCTGTCGGACCTCAGAAATACCAGGTATCGCTCATCACCACCACAAACAATTGATTTATTATCATAACTTATAATATACCGTACGACAAAACACAGACCGACATCCGTACCCCCCGAGCTTTCAGAACCTTCTTCTCCATCAGAATGATGGTCAGCGTTTAACGTTCATAGGAGAATACTGTACATTATTAATATTTATTCTCGAAGATCAATGCCTCATTAACAGAAATATTTATTGTACAGGATGGAATATGTGTTTATT